CTCTCTCTCTCTCTCTCTCTCTCTTCTCTCTCTCTCTCTCTCTCTCTCTCTCTCTCTCTCTCTCTCCCTCTCTCTCTCAATACCATGTCGCTTCCCAAAACATCCAATACGTGCCCCTCTCACCCTTCACGGTCATTGCGCCACTGCCACAATCACCACCACCGCCATCTCAGCCTGGTATGCTCCCGCCGCCGCCTCCACCGCCCCCATTCGTCATGGAATTCGACTTCAACCGACAAAGTGCGCTGCGGCACCAATCCAATCTAGCCTGTACCCGTGCGCGTCTCTGTCTGTGTGTATTGTGTGTGTGTGTGTGTATGTGTGTGTGTGTGTGTGTGTGTGTGTAAATTGTGTGTGTGTGTTGTGTCTCGTCAACAAGCGCCTGCTGTTCTGTGTGATTGACGCCTCCACGCCCTACATCTAACTCTTGTGTCGACACCGCTGCTGCCGTCGTCATTTGCACACGCGGTGCAGTCTCGACGGAGGACCTGCAGCCGCTCTCTGATGAGCAGCTGGCGGAGATGGAGGGGAACACACGCCAGCAGGTACGGCATCACACATGCACACACACAGGCTCATGCACGCGCATACACACGTGTGCACATGCGCATTCGAACGCACGTCGCTGTTGCTGTGCCACAACCAACAACACTTGCATTCACTGCCACCACCCGTGTCACGAGCACCCATGTCACGACCACCTCAACGCTGATGGCTGCAGGTGATGGCGCGCATTGCGTTTCTGCGGCGCCTCAAGCGCGATGTGGATGCACTCATTCTCAGATTCGGTCAATATGAGACGCTCGCAGAGTACGCCTGCTCCTATGCACACACACACACACACGTGTGTGTGTGTGTGTCTGTCTGTCTGTCTGTCTGTCTGTCTGTCTGTCTGTCTGTCTGTCCGTCCGTCTGTCTGTCTGTCCGTCCGTCTCTCTCTCTATGTATGTGTGTGTGTGTTCTTGTTTCCGTGTCCGTCCGTGTCCGCGTTCGTGTATGTGTTTACGTGTGTGGGTATGCGGTGTATAATTGTTCTGTGCTCCCACCCCCCCCCCCCGTGCTGACTTGCGTCGCATCTTGCTCTTCTGTGCGCGATGATTGTGGTCCGTGTGCACCATCAGGCCACCCGCTCCCACGGCTGCCCAGCGCAATGATGATGATGATGACGACGACGACGACAACGCTGGTGATGATGATGATACGGCAGAGAAGAAGGCGGAACAAGGCGGTGATGGCAACCACGACGACGATGAAGAAGAAGAAGATGATGGTGATGATGATGATGACGACGACGACGACGATGATGACGATAACGATGAAGAAGAAGAAGAAGATGATGATGATGATGATGACGATGCGGAAGTGGAAGAGGTGGTGGCGGATCCACCACCGCAGAAGAACGACACGACAACATCTCATGCTAACAACGGTGACGATGATGACAATGATGAGGATGATGATGAAGACAAGCAGGCGCCGTTACCTCGTCAAATGTCCCATGAGGAGATCCGTGCGCTGCGTCTACGCGCCCTCTCCCAATCTGCCAGCCCCTCCAAGCAACCGAATGACAGCACCGCCAAGGAGTGATGCCGTGCGTTGTCGCATCCAACATCACCCGCCAGCATCCAACAACATCACTTCCCGTGTGCTCGCTCAACCACTCATCTCATGTGCCCCCCCCCCCACACAGTACTCCTCCCCAAGTTCTTGGCTGTTACTTGGTTCCATAGTCCTTCGTGTCAACGTGCTGTCTGTGTTGTGCTGGATGTCTGTTCTGGATGTCTGTGCTGAATCATCAATACAAATAACGAGCCAACAACACACCATGACCACGCCATCAAACGGTTTATTGACTCAAACCTAACACAAACCACGGACTCAGCTATCTCACAGCAGGCGTCGTGCTGTTACCACCATCGATACCATGGCCCCTGTTGTGGCCGTCATAATCACCACCACTGCACACCTCGATTCTCTCGCCCTCCGCCACCCTTGTAGCACCGTCAGCTTGCTGCGGCACCTGTCCGCCTTTGTTAACCTCGCCCTCTTCCTCCGTCGCTCCAACCACAACAACAACACCATCAGCACCACAACTATCGCTATCGCCACCACCTCCAAGCCCGCGCCCTTGCTGCCTTTGCGGCTCAAGGGGCGGCCTGTCGTCGCCTTCCTGCTTGTTGTCGGCAGTGATTTGTGCCACCACAGCCCGATGCTGGCCAGAGGTGGTGGCATTACTCTTTGGTCCGTGTCTTCGCAACCCTGGCTGCGTGGTACTGTCTCCAACCGCCGGACTAGTTGCGTCACCACTGCCCTCTTCCTGCACTGACGTGTGCTCCCCTGGCCTCGTGCAAGCAGCTTGGCCCTGTTCCTTCTCCTTGCTGCTGCTCTTCTTGATTGCTGCTGTCATGCTCTCTTCGCAGTGTTGTGATGGTGATGATGATGATGATGATGATGATGATGATGATGGCGATGGGAGGAATTGGGGGAGCTCGCGCTCAATGAACTTGAATTGCTGCGGCGGCCACACCTGCATAACAGGTTGTGGGAGGAAGGAAGGAGTGGGAAGACATAATCAGTGAGTGGGTGAGTGAGTGAGTGTGTCAGTGAGTTAGTGTGTCAGTGAGTGAGTGAGTGTGTCAGTGAGTGAGTGCGTGAGAGTACGCACGTTCGTCACAACCTTCGCATTCGCGTCTATATGCTTGCAATCACACATACACACACGCACACATGCACGCACACGCACCCTGGCCACGACGCGTGATGTGACGAGGGCAAGCGGAACAAAGCCGTAGGTGCGAGAGTCTGTGGAGTTGGACAGGTTGTCGCCCTGCAGCCACACACGCCCGCGCGGCACCGTGCGGAAGCGCTTTGGAAAGCCAGTGGGGTTCACGCACACACGCTCCCCTTCCTGCACCACGAAGAAAAGGAGTGGAGTTCGGGAAGGAAACGATGAGACGGGGAGGGAAGCTGGGGCGGGATGGGGTGAAGTGAAGTCCAACACCCCATAATCACACCAGCAGGCAGGAAGGAAAGTAAGGTTGGGCCAAAATACACATGCACACACACACACACACACACACACACACACACACACACACACACACACACACACCATGGCGATGATCCGCTTGCAGACGAGGCTCTTTGGATTGGTGACGGACTTGGCCACAATCACGTCGCCCCTGTTGAGGAAGAAACGCACAGGGCCTGCAGGATGAGTCAAAGTACCAGGCTGCTGTGCAGCACTGCAAGCATAAGCAAGTACAGAAAGTAGCAAGAACGCAAAGGAAGCAAACAACGCAAAGGAAGCAAACAACGCTATGGACGCAAGGCACACGTACCGCTGCAGCTTGCCCATTCGAGGGGTGATGGTCTCTGTGAGTAAGATATCTCCGCTGGGATTGATTGTCGGCATCATCGAAGGCCCTTTGCTCTAACACACAGCACCACCATCCACACCATGATGTTGCCGTGGTGAAAACACATGTACTCCAACCGCACACAAAGCACACAAAGCACACTAAGGACAACAAACGCGCACAGCACAACAAGCACAATAAACGCGCACAGGACACAACTGCAAATCAAACGACCACTGCAAATCACACGCACACAAACGCACACCAAACGCCAAACACACAAAACGCACGCACATAGAGACAGAGCACGCACAGAGCACGCACACACATAAGACCGCACAACGCACCACTGTGAGGTTGCCGATGTAGGTGGTGGTGATGTGGATGCTGCAGCCAGCAGCCACAGCCGTCACCACAAACCTCTTCCCCAACGCCCACAACATCTGTGAAAGTTCATGTAAATTATTCACATATTTTCCGTATCCTCCTCCAGTAACGACGGCAGTGATGATGAGGATGATGATGATGCGGGCTCAGCCGCCTGTGGTGCTACTTGCTGTTGTTGGGGTGCTGGCTTGTCTGCCAGCCACCTCCCTGGCCTACGACAATGGCGTTGCCCTGAAGCCAGCCATGGTGCGTTTATTATGTTCGGTATCTCGTGTTGCATGGCAATTTGTCCTGGTTTGTCGTGGCTGCTTGCGTGTGGCGGTTTGTCGTTTGTTGTTTGGTGCGTGTCGTGGTGTTGACAGGCTGCAGTGGAGCTGTTTTCAGATGGGGTTCTGTGAGGTTCGCTGAAAGGCTTGTCCCACTGTGTTGCTTCTGACCGTTCTGTTTCCATTTGGCTGTTTGGCGGCTGCATGGGACCGGATGTGTGTGTGTTTTATTGTTTTCCTTCGCACAGGGCTGGAACACTTGGTGCACCCTCAGTGGTACGGCGACTACTTTGCCGTGACGTCTCCTTGTTTGACGAGTATCGAGCTTTGATTTCTGCTGCTGCTTTGGTTATTTTGCTACTTATGCTTCCTTCATCACTTCACCCCCAATCTCATGATTGCGTCTTCTTGGCCCTTCCAACACAAAGACTGCCACAACGGCGACAACAAGTACTTTGACCGGTGAGTATCTTTATCTGTGCGCGTTCTATCTGACTGTCTTCGTGGCACGCGAGATCTTCTTCTTCTTCTTCTTCTTCTTCTTCTTCTTCTTCTTCTTCTTCTTCTTCTTCTTCTTCTTCTTCTTCTTCTTCTTCTTCTTCTTCTTCTTCTTCTTCTTCTTCTTCTTCTTCTTCTTCTTCTTCTTCTTCTTCTTCTTCTTCTTCTTCTTCTTCTTCTTCTTCTTCTTCTTCTTCTTCTTCTTCTTCTTCTTCTTCTTCTTCTTCTTTTTTTTTTATATCTTCAACACCGCGCTCTTGCAAGCCCAACTCACAATCACCCGCCCTGAAATGCGCCCACGTCCCACTGCCACCAAGATGCAACGAGTGGGAGATCCGCGACATTGCCGAGGCCATGCTGACCAACGGCATGTACGACCTCGGCTACCGCTACATCAACCTTGACGACTGCTGGGCCGCCACGGAGCGTGACGCCCAAGGCAACATCCAGCCAGACCCCGACCGCTTTCCCTCCGGCATGCGGGCCATGGCCGACTGGCTGCACAAGAAGGGCCTCAAGTTTGGGCTGTATACGAGCATGGGCTCTGCCACGTGCAACCGCGGCGGCCGCCCCAAGGACATCCCAGGCTCCTTTGGCCACTACAAGGAGGACGCAGCAACCTTCGCCTCGTGGCACATGGACTACGTGAAGGTGGACTGGTGCGGGCACGACCTGTTCGACTCGAAGCTGCAGCACACAGAGCTGTCAAATGCGCTGAATGCCACGGGCCGGCCCATCTGGCTCGAGCTCTGCCGCGGCTACTCGTACGACCCCATCCCGCCATACGTCGCCGAGGTCAGGCACACGTCGTGCTATGCGGGATGTTGGGGAGAGGAATGGCTGTGCCTGGCGAAGCGGGTGTGATGGAGTGAGTGTTGTGCGCGGGGACGCATATTGAATGCAGGCGACTGTGTTGGGACATAATCTTTGTGCGCTGACCTTTGCGTGTGTGTGTGTGTGTGTGTCTGTCTGTCTGTCTGTGTGTGTGTGTGTGTGTGTGTGTGTGTGTGTGTGTGTGTGTGTGTGTGTGTGTGTCTGCGTGTGTG